TACATATATTATTATGTAATTATGATTCACGAGACATTGTGTATTTTGACTTATTTATTGTTTGACTTTCACTTAACAAAAATTGAAAAGGAAAAAAAAAAAAAAAAAAAACATATTGATAAACACGCCACTGCTTACTCCTCCCGAGTTCTGCTTTCCCAATCTAAATTTCACGCATTATTCTTACTCATGCGATTTTATACTTTCAACACTTTCTATGGATTTTTTCCAGCCCAAGTATAAGAGAGTTACTAATTCTAGTGTATGTTGTTAGCATTACACGCAAAGCCCGATGTTATATAATTTTGTGCAGGTCAAGGGCAGTTGATTTTTTTATAACAATTATTACAGTGGGCAAGTTTATACCCCAAAACCAATCATGTGTTTAAAAAGTATAAATTTGAACAACAGTACTTAACTAAAAAAAAAAAAAAAAAAAAGAGTTCCGATGAGTGTATTTCAGTGATGGTGCATAATAGTACTCTCAATCAGACGGTATGGATGCGAATGGGGGCAAAGAGGAGGATGCGATAGTAACTGTATTTATTGGCTCGGTTGCGTAGCTGATGGCAAATCCACAGGAGACTAACTGGAAAGGGAGAGATATGATTCTGGCTCCTCTCAGGCGGTATTATCTCTCAGTCATGGAGCAAACGAGGGGGCGAGAGATACTACCACACGAGATACATATACATATACATATTTTTCTTCTCTCCTATATATACATAAATATATATATATATATATATATATATATATACTCGTACATGTACACAACTTGTGAACGTTGAAGTCCTATAGCAGCACCGGTAGGAACAGTATGAGTATCTGTACTTGTGATGGTAAGCCGATGCAAATTGCAAGTAACCATGTGAGTGGCGCGTGTACGCTTGACAATGGTAATGCGAGTGGCACCTCTTCGGAGTAAATCATAGAGGATCCGATGGTGACGCACAAGTACACGAACTTTCTCGAGCCAAGGATGGTAGTCGGCTACACGTGCAACCAGATGTTCCCGTCACTTTTACTGGAATATTGTTTTTTTTTTCTCGCTCTCTCTTTTCTTTTGGTAAATCTTTAATGTTACAATTATTCATCAAGTAGATACGTGGATAAACATCACTTTTTTTGCTCATATAATGTACAGAGGACAGGGATACAGATGAAAACTTTTCGAATCGAAGTTGCTCTCCGTGTAGAAGTGATCTGGACACGAGAGAGTAACAATTCCAGCTCATCTCGGGGGTGCGCGTCGCGAAACTTATCACTCCCTGAATCCTTGAATTTCAAAGGCTCGAAACAAAACTCAAAACTTTCCAAATCTCGAGTTAAGTCCCTTGAAACTCGAATTTCACAGTTAAGGTGTGTATACCCATGATACTCGGAGTTACTTCACAGAGTCGCCAAGATGTACAACATCAAACTGCACCCTTGGAGCTCGGTTATCTTTTACTTTGGAGAATATTTTTTTTTTCTTACCTGCAGATACCGTCCTAATTATGCATTGTTTTTAAAATTTTCCTTTTTCCTTTTTTTTTTTTTTTTTACATTGCATGTAACAACCTCGACGACGCACCCGTGCTTTCCTGCCTTTGACAAATTCGCGTGGGTGTCGTGAGCGGCTGCACACGTAGAAAGGCAGGCGGGCACATCTTCGCGAAAAGTACCGGGGCGCTCTTTGCATTCCGGGCGCGCGACTACACAAAAGATTAAGGGCGGAAAAGCTCCTTTTCTCCGTAGATGGCGCCGGCTTGCCGCTACACTCCCCTATTCTTCTGCATCCCCTCTTGCTTTTCCTGATTGTACACACCGAGTCCTCCTATACACGATACCACTCTGCCACCCCCTTCTTTTCCTCGAGACGGCTTTTTATTCTCTCGAGTGGAAACCAAAATCTCTCCTCGCTCGAGTGTTTGTTACTCATTTCGCGTCGGAGGCTTTCCGCGTTCAGATTTCCACGGGATTCGCGATCACCCGGGAGCCTCGTGTTTCAACTTGCCAAATGGGTGCTTTTTCCCTTTGTTCCACACCTCCACGGAGCAAAAACTATATAGAATCCGAGTTTCAATTTTCGAGGAAACCCATTGTTCGTTGGTATTTTTTTTTGTCGCAATATTTGTGACTAGAATTTGTTGTACTGTGAAACAGACACAGTGACATTTTCGTGGAATTAAAATGACAAAAGAAATGAAGTGCGAGGCCTATCGATTTGTAAAGGGGTGACGGTAATAGGAAAGATTCAAGAAAGCTTTTCGTGCTGTACATGGAAGGCTTGAAGTGAAAGTAATAGGACAAGGTGAGGGAGGGTTTTTCAAGGAGACTGTAGGTGCGGAGGGTATTGGCGATAAAAACTAATAATACGATGAAGAATGTGCCGGGGGAACATGAAACTGCTCCAAAGTTAAATAACGGCCAAGGAAAAGGATATAATACATAATGGTAATGGCAGGAAAAAATCGGCACTGAACGAGGTTAAAGGGAAAAAGGTGTTATTTCCGGAAAGGGGTGGATCTTTTACTTTTAGAATTGAAAGAGGTAGTGGATGGAATGGAACAAGTTTGCGTAAGCGAAAAGGCACGAGTAAATCAGTTAATTAATTCACAGGGAAGGTGCTTATTTAGTTTGAAGACAAAAGTCTTAGATAGCGCATCGTGAGCTCATCGTTTTTCTACTTTTTGTACAGCAAAATTTGCTAATCGTGCAGATTGATGATCGATCTGCTCCACTTTTATGATTATTATTATTATTATTATCCCCATTATTCACTAAAAAATCTAGTTATAAATTTTGATTGCCACCTCACGAAAGCATTATTTCACAAGAAATTGGCTTTCTCTCGAGAAAACTTTTTGACAGATGTATACGCACAGAATTATCGAGAAAAAAAAGCCATCAGCCCTATTCTAACAAGCCTTTTAAACTTTGGTTATTACCGGCTATACTCGCTCCGAGCTTTTCTTGACACGCAACGGAGAAACTTTTTACGGGCGCCGTAATGACTTGAAAATGTTAATGTTACGAGAAATTCCCGTAGACCCGACGCGCGTGTGTACGGCCCACGATGCCGAAGAGGAAGGGAAATACAAGGTTTAATTGATAGGTGTGTACGCTCGAAGTACCCTCGAAGGAAGGAAGAGAGTCCTTTAGTCCTCGCGCTCCCGTGTCCGAGACCCAACTTCTCGAGCCTCTGTCGCAAGCTTGCGGCTTCTCCAAATTCCTCCAGAGTGACAGTTAGCCCCAGTTGTCTCTCCACGAATGCTGTCTCGATCACTCCAATGCCTGCACTATACGAAAAAGCGAGTGAATTTTTACATTGCCATTCTTGATTCCTATTTCTTTTGGTCCCTTAACAAGTGAAAGAAAAGTATTTTTAGGGCGGCAAAGAAAGTTGCGAGTACCTGGATTCAACACTGGTCCTGCCAAAGGCGGAGGAAACAATATTTTCGAGCATTTCCAATTTAAGCGAAAGTAATACATTTACCTGTACATGCATATGTATATTGCGTTGAAAACCCCCCATTGAAAGGGTATTTATTTCCGGTCGAATAAATATTTGCGTAATATCCTGAATTTTAAACAGCCCGTGGTTGCGAGGAACTCCACGAGTTATTGAAATACACCCTCCTCCTGCCCCATCGGAGTTGGGACGTATCGAAATGTAAATCGACCGCGATTTCTGCGGTCTTTTCTTTGGCGCGCGGAGATATGGAACAGGTACAGAAGGAGCGCGGTATACAGAACGGAACAGCTCGAAGCAAAAGTAACTGTATAAATACACACGTAGCGTGAAAAAACTGCGTTGCTCTGCAATACCTGTACATACATACATGTATATACCTGTAACTTCCTCGCACTCGGGAGTGTGGAAGAGGAAAGAGGACATTGTGTGATGAGATGAGTCATAAAATTTACGGACAGTTTTATTACCGTGTACTTGTAGTCCAGTGTCAGTTTTATGTTCCCGAGACTATAATATAAATTACGTAGTTTAAAGGCACTAAAGACTCGAAAGTAAATATACCTGTATCATGTCCAAGTGCTCCTAGTTTTACGTACGCGATCAACTTGGGGTTTTGAAAAAAAAAAAAAAAAAAAAAAAAAAAANAAAAAAAAAAAAAAAAAAAAAAAAAAAAAAAAAAAAAAAAAAAAAAAAAATGATGCAGGAAGAACAAGACATCACTGTGACTCACTTCAATTTCTAATAAAATTCATTTACGATTATATTGCGCACAGCTCTGAAGAAGTGAAAAATACGTATACGTTAAATCGCGTTAAATGAACGCGCCGTACCTGTAAGAAGCGAATCACTTGTATTTATTGTCAGACAGTTTTGACTCTTGCGCTCGGGGGAGGAAGAAAGCCCGGATAATTTGGAGGATCCAGTGGGGGTGTCGAGCACCCGTCGACCAAACAGTATTCAGGCAGCACAGATACACAATATAGCCGTGGTATACATGTACCGCCGTGTACAAGCTGCGCCATCAGCCGTATACGGACGTCGAGCGAATACGTTAATGGCCAGTGTCCGGGAAAACTACGCGGGAGGGAGGAACATATGTTGCTGCGTATACGTGTGCGGATCATCAAGCGCGACGAGCCGAGTCAGGGCAGCAGGTACTTACCGCCTACGCAACAAAGTGCCGCGTCAACTTGCTCCCATTCCCCTTTCGGTGTACCAATTTGGATGCACATCTATACCCAGTGTATACATATATAGTAGCTCCTCCTCGTTCAGTATAAGCTATACCGGGGCTGCAGGTGGGCCTCTCTTTTTGCGTAAACACAATGTGTGCTTGATTACACGATCTCACGTGTGTATAGAAATTTTGCACCAACTGCAGACCTGATTCCTTTTTTTTCCATCTGCTGACGTACGCGCGTTTTTTGCCCATCACCTTTTTCTCTCTCTATATCTTTTTTTTTTTTTTTTACATGTTTGTAATGGGAAATGGATTGAATTTCCAACGGCTGAGTCGCTTTTGTTTTTTCGTGGTTTTACATGTTTTATTCGGTGCGTGACCTTCTCCGTGATCCAGAACACGTTAAATGTATTTATACGATAAGCTATGCGTGTGTATTAAAAATTGTTCAAACTGAGGCATACATTAAAGGCGAATGAACCGTGTGTAGGGGGGCTAATGCATTTTTCTTTCCATGTGCTTTCAGGACAGGCTGGTGGAACGAAAAAGAAAAAAAAAACAAAAAACGGAGGCAAGGATAACCGACCGAGTTGCAGTAGGAGCGCAAAAAAAACAAGAACGCCGGCTCAGCGAGCGGATTGTTCGTCGTCGAAAATCACGAGTACTTGGCGAGACGTAAAGCAGGGTGAGTCTCGTTCTATATATATATATATACCATGTATACACGCTCACACATATTTAAAAAAAACCCACGTATTTATATATACATCACCCCGGTGATGTTGAAAACACACACCACTCATGTCTGAACTTTAATTTTTTTTTAACGAGATCTCGGGAGGGTAGGTATTGTTTCGGTGATTTTTGGTCCAGGAATTATATGACAATCGCCAAGTCGCACGCGCGACCGGGGAACCCCTTTTGTCGCGTGCACGCGTCACACGATCCTCAAACCTCCTTTGTATTCATCTCTCTTTCACGGGGCGAAGGTGGCATTTGTCTTGACCCTAAGCTACTAGCTCAAAAGGCTGTACGTGAATGCGTTTAATCTTAAATGCCCCGAGGCCGGCTCGGTATACGTATTATACACATAGCGCAGCGCGTCAAAGTCCTGCTGCCCGCAGTCCAAAACTTATACCTTACCCGTACTTGTGCTGGAATTTCGTGCCGAATATTCGTCGCCCGAGGGGGTGGGAGGGGGCAGAGATGGGCAAACGCGTGACTCGAAAGTTAAGCGTCTGCCGCCCCCCCCCCCCAGACTGCCCGTGCCCAGCAGCAGCTTGGAATTTATTTATCGGGGTGCCAGGAGGAGCGTTTGTTTCCTACTTTTGCCGCAGTTACCATCACCATCACGGATTACACTGCGACGATTCTTTTCGGGGCGTCGTGGCACGGATTACCTACAATTATTATATACATAATACGCATACATAGAAAGAGCTCTCTGCGTCGCAGGATACAGATAAAGCACAACCGTTCTCATTTTTTGTTCTTTGCTCGAAAAAAGACGCGTACAATGTAACTTAGTATATGCTTAAAGACCTATTCCCGAAAAAAAAAACCTAGATCGCTTTGTAAGAATGTACATACGCCGCGAAACAAGTACTCCAGCTGGTGTGTAGTGAGCTTGCAGTGACTCGCCGCAGAGATGTAAAAAATCAGGCTCTGCAGCCGTGACTATTTTTTCTTTTCCACGTTGTAGCAGAGTGAAAAGCAATAATTTAATTCCATGATCAAGATGCCCTAGCGGATAACCCAACGAATCTTGCGTCACCAGCAAATCTCTTCCCTTCTTCTATACGGGTATAGGTCAACGAGTCTCTCCAGGCAGAGGTTGTGTATCCTTCAGTATCTCTCGGATGGACGTAACTTACCTACGTGCAGTGTAACACCTATGTACACACCGACGCTCGACCCTTCCTCTCCACGTGAAAAATAGATAAGTATATAGGTGTACCCATGCGGGCTTGCAGCTTCAGAGCTCGTAAACTGCCGCCGACCACTGACATATATATATATACACGCGCGGTCCCTCGTTGCTCCTTACGTACAATATACAAGCGCATCTCTTTTTCCCCCTTTTCTCGTCTCTGCATTACGACTTAACGAAGGGCTCCCCGCGCGCCGTATCACTACTCCCCCGCATCCCCTCTGACGTTCAGTTGGCACGGGTATACCTACGCTAACCTATGCAAATCGAGGAGAGATGCCTTCCCCCCTCCCACTCGGGCTCGTCGTCGAGTCAGCTCTTTTCTTCTTCTTCTTTTTGTTTTATTCACTTACACGGTAAAAAAGGGCGGTGTGGGAGAGCACCCTCTTTGCTCCCGTGGGAGCCCATATACTTTCTACTTGCACGCGCGCGTCGGAAAAATATAGCGAGAGGTAGGGGGTTGAGTGGTTGTGCCCTCTCGGAGGACTTGGCGCCAGTACATATATGTATAAGTGTATAATATGTGTAAGACCTCCCTTTGGCCATTCGACCTATATATATATATATATATATATATATTGTATTGTCCCGCCCTTGTCTTGGCTCTCCCCATCTCACGTGCAATTATACAATGGGAGCGTGTCGCGCCATACCTTTTGCCGTCCTTAAATTTGTAATGTGGATCTACCTCGGTAATCCTCGACGTGTAATTAAGTCCAAATGCGCATTAGGTCTCGCGAAGAAGCACCCACTCGTCGTGCGCGCCTACGTTATAAACATACGCTCGAGCGAGCAGGTATAAATTTAATGTACCAAACCACCCCTAGCCCCCTGCATGTGAGTGTGTAGCTGCTCCCTCACCCGCGAAAGTTTTTCTTTCTACTTCTTGCACTCGTGGCGCCTCTCCAAAGGCCGCTCCGACCTGCATCGGAGAGAGCCACCGAGCGAATAAAAGTGTGTGCGCGCGCGCGTCACTTCCACGCCGGCCCCCTGATGTCTCTTCCTTTCGCGCGTGAGCCCGTGGCGGTCGCCCGAGGCGTGTTTAACGATTCACAAAGCTCGGCAATCCCCTTCCGGGGCTCCGCGCTCGGCACAGAGATGCATATATATATATTATATACGTATACGGTGGCGGTAACGGCTTAGTTTGTAGCTCAGAGATGTGCCAGGGGATGGTCGAGGCTCGCGATATATCGGCTGGGACTCCGAAAAGGGAAGCTTTATTCCTTCAAAGAGACGCCTCAAAAGAAGCCAGGCCATTTCTTTGCGGATATTGCCGACCTCGTGCACCGAGCTTTTTTTCCCTACCTCGTTGTCTTGCGCTGGGGGTGGCAATGTTTACTTCTTCCTCCCTTCACTTTTTTCATTAACTTCTTACGTGGTGTATTAAAAGCGCGGGTATAAAACCATTCATGCATTCTAACATAAATATTTATATATCCTTCATTACCTTGTTGCGAGCACACGTCATTTTTCTCTTCCCTTGACGAACTGTTATTCATCACGATGGTAACATATATACGTAACATACACGTGCTCGAGAATTTTGAGCTTACTTTTGAAAAATGATGTCTCGTTATTTGTTGGGTAGCCCATATACTTTGTCTTTCAACCCTATACATCACCTGCATGTCATATATTAACCCTTATTACCTTAGAAACCTTACTCTTCGTTCATTGCCAATCCAAGTTTTATTTTCATTCAAAAGTACCCATACGTATTACGTTATTTAATGCAATGAACACACGCGCGCGCGAGTAACTATTTACCTAGTCTCTGGAACGCAATAAAAAGCTTCGGAAATCCGATGAGCAATAACAATGTAGGGACTCCCGTTAACCTTTTGACCCGCAATTTTAGTTTTTCGCGTGCACGCTCTAATTTCCTCCCTTTAAAAAAGTAGAAAAAAAAAAAAAAAAAAAGATCCCTAAAGCTAACGCATAGCATCTCGTTAGCTCGTAAATAGAAAATGAGAATGTAGTGTTACAGCACTGACGCGCATCGCAAATGCGAGCTTACTTATGTAATGTTGTTGTGTATACGCCCGCATTGTATCAATACTCGAACGCGCACTTGTAAAATGCAATTAAATGTGCGTGTGCGTGCAATGCTGTACCGCGCAAAACCAAGTTTTTTCCTTTATTGTCTTCCTCGACTCCTCCTTTTTTCCACCACTGGGCTTCAGAATTTCAGCAAATTTCATATCGGACCGCTCTCTCCTTCGCGTTTTCGGACTTCAACCATTTTTAATTGGCTTGTCCGTTTGTTTTTCTTGGCAACTCACAAAACTTTCGACGATATTCGTGCAATTCCTTTTTTTGTTATTTTTTTTTATTTATTTAAATATAGGAGTTTGTAGTTGTAGACAAATGCTATGAGCTGTAATTAAACATATTGAGGAAAAAAATAATGTGATACCAATGGCAGTTGTATGCTATTGCAGTAACTAATAATTCATAGAGATACTACAATGAGAGAAAGAGAGAGGGTGATCAGAGTCCATCAGCAGTCGCACACTTCTCAAGTTACTATATATTATGTACAACAATTGTAGGTACAGCGAGTTCAATAGAAAAATAAATAAAATCAATTAAAAACTCGCTCGGCATTTCATCGAAACGTTTCCACTTTACTGCTTTTGTTACTCCTTTTATATCACAGTTGAATAACAAATGAACAAACGTTTACAATAAATTAATGTACCTTCCGAGGGCCAATAATTTACATGATACAAAAATTTTGCTTCGATTCGATATTTTCTTTCAATTGAAAAAAAAGCATCAGAATTGTTGAGAAATTTCTCACTTGGCTGAAATACTTATCCGTTTCGATTCGTCAAATTTTAACAATCGTTCGAAAAAAAGAAAAAAAATTTCAAAACCACAAATAAATCCCCACAATGAGGAGAAAATCAACGGACCACGAACAAAGCTCCCCCGAGCCCGTAGATTTGCCCAGTCGCGCACGTATTAATTGAAATCCATTGTCGCAAAGCGACCCGCGAACCACCTATTACGTGCATTTCCTCACCACGTATAGCTGACCCAGAAATCTCGAATGTCGCACGCGCGCCATGTAATAAGTATACAATATACGCGCCAAGACAAAGAGACGCGCGCGTGTGTATCGACAGTCAAGTTCGCGCGGTGAGCTATACGTACAAGAATAAAAACATGATCACCACGAGCATGTACATTGTACAGGTACCTCGATGCGCATGAATTTTTTGCTCGCCACGATTCAATCCCCGCCGTATCGGGCCCCCATCGACGGGAATATAGGCAAATAAATCTTCTCGACCGCTCGCTATGTATATGCATGCAGTCTCTCGTCGTTGTTGATCCCGTGTACGTACGAGCCCCGGTTTTTCCACCTTTTAATCGGTACGGAGCTGCCGATACTCAACTACACCATTACCGATCATTTCATTAGCAATTGTCACCAGAGGACTTTGATAAATGCCCCAGCCGCTGTATAGGAAGGACACTCCGACGCCGGATGCTTCGGGATATACCCATTATATATTTGTGTATATATACGTACACATGCATATAGAGTCTTACCTGTTGGCATCACCTCAGAGCAGCCGCCGTCTTGGGTCGACTGGATTGATTCGCCGACCGTTCTCTCCCGTGCATAGGGTACTAATACAGCGCGTCACTCTTACCCATTGTTCTCGATAATGTACACCTGCAGCTGGCGCTTGGTTAAGTATATAGGTACATTATAGGTGTATACGTATATATACGTGAGACGACCTTATACGGGTACACGTCAGCGCAGGTGAGATTTGACATGTGCTCGCGTAAACTTGTTATTCAGGAAGCCACGCGTGTTTTTTCGACTATTTACTATACTATGTATATAGCGATGGCAATAACATATTTTTATGGATTGCTCCTGCGTCCTCTAAATCTTGAATTAAAATACTCGCACGGTGAGATTTTGTACGTATATTATATATATGGGTACCACTTTGATTTTCAGCTTATTTCGGTACATCTCTTTGTTTGGTTGTTTACCAAATCTCCGGCAGCCATTGCGTAATGTATTTCATTACCTAACATCATATCTTCAACCTTGATAGATTCTTCTTTTTTTTCCTTTTTTTCCTTTTTTTTTTTTTTTTTCTAGAAACGCGTCATCCTTCAGCCAAATAATGACACTGTACTTTTTAAAAACACTATAGTTGGCCATCGGTGTGCATTGTAGTATAGCAATGCGGAGGGGGAATCTCGAGCACATTAATCGTGACCGACACGTCGGCGTTTTATTTTTGCTTCTGTTGCAGCGCTGAGCCTGCTGTGCGTTAAAACATCGACGAGCAGCGCAGCCATGCTAGAAGCACCGCCCGGCAGTCGCGAGGACCTCGTGGAAGCGGCGAGGACGCCCTGCTCGCCATCCGGTTAGTCCAACACATGTACATTATGCCTCCCTCCTCCATTGTATACTGTATAATATTATGCGCGCACAGTGTACACCCACACGTGGTGCTTTCGTTGCTGTGATGGCCTACGTCAAATTAACCCTTCGAGATGCTCCGTAGGTGCATATATAATAATGTTGATGCTCGTACCTGTATGGTGTACTTGGTCGTCGTTGGTATATAAGGACCGAGTTTCGCCTGAGTTTGCCAAGTTTGACCGAGTTTGCCGGGAGAAAATGGAGGGTCGGGCGCACCAATGTGCCGAACAGGGGCGATGCTCTTTCGACCGTCCAAGCACGTTTCTGCGACTTTCGCTACTTACAAATTTTTTTTTTTTTTTTTCCCCTCGTAGTGTTGATTCATTCATCGATTGTCGTTGCCGCACCATTGTACGTCCTTCCTGCTTCCCAAAAATGAGCAACACAGTGAGATGCGTTTCAATGATCGGCCACGATGTCCGTGGATGAGAGAGACCAAGATTCTGACGAGCAATAACAAGAAGCACTACATGTCCTTCCATCTCTTTTTCAGTAGGGGAGTTGTGTGAAGCTGCACTTTGTCATACTTCTCGCCGCTTCGCTCTCGTACTTGTATTAATTAGCTCGGCTCTCCGACGCGACCTAATTTTTCCGAACTTCGAGTCAGGGGTACAAAGAGTTTTGACGATTGGGGTAGTTTGGAGCGGAGGAGGGGCAAGGGTTAAGTGTTTGCGCATGAGATCTCATGACGATTTTCCACTGGGAGCCACTCGCAGCTCGTATACTTACGTGCCTCGAGGGAAATAATTGGGATGGGCTTGGTGTAATTGTCGAGGTGACGCACACTCGACTGCGACATCGATTTTTCACTTATGAGTACGATCGTTGGTGAAAGTTTTGTTTTTCAATCTAAAAATTTGTTTTTCTCGTCTCTTTTTTATATTCTGTAAAATATATAAGTTACGGAAAAAAAAGTCAAAGAATGTAGTCCGTGAGTTTGAATTAAACATGATTCCATTTTATCGAAAGTTCGCTGTTTTTCAAACTCGGAAAAAAATTGTGTGAAAAAAAAAAAAAAAAAGGATACTTCAACCGACGAAAGTAAGTTTCGGAGTTTTGAAAAATGAAAGACTTTTCACGTAGCCTCGTAATGCTATTAAAAATCCCCTTGAAAGTACAGAAGTAGCAACATATAAATTGGGCAACACCAATTAGTCAATTGTATTGAACAAAAAGTCAAATTATTCGCATTGGAATCTTTGATTCGTTTGAAAAAAAAGTCGCGGAGAGAATGGACCAAAAGGGGAAAACGGACGTGTAAACGGTATACATTCGCGCCGAAACTAATGGACAATGACAGGTAGACAAACACAAAGAGAGAGAGAGAGAGAGAGAGAGAAGAGGTGAAAAAAAGCCTTTGCGCGAGAGCCACCGAATTCTACATTTCCCCGTTTCCCGAGAAATTGAATATCGCCGTTTCAAGCCCACCCCAACGATATTTTCACGCGCGAGCGTGTGTTATCTAACCCGGTCACGGAGAATATATTCGCTGACGTCATCGATGCGAACCACCTCCCACCGTTGCACGACCACGCGAGCTCGCGGAACATATTACAGTTGCTGTTCCTATTTGCTACGGTCGCAGTCGGAGGTAAAAGGCTGTCCAGTCCAGGCACGCGAATCACCACTGCTGTCCGCATCTCTCGATCCCGTGGCGAAATTATCGACCACTCCGTATACCGTAGCGCTAAGCGCCGAGTATCGGGACATTTTTTGGGCTTACGTGCGTACCACGGGTTCGGCACGGATTCCGATTGATTACTCGTTTTCGGGTGTATTCATCCCCTCCGACTCTTTAAACCAGTGAATTTGTACGTCAATTGCAAAAACGATAAAAGAAAGGCCCATAGTACATGGTTTTTTGACGGTGGTAGCTATACGATGGCATGGACACGATGAGAAATGGTGCATCAATGACGTGTAAAAAAAAAAGAGAGAAAAGGTCGCGCTATCGGTGAGCGGAAACTAGGCATTACCCAGTACCGAGGCTGGAAAAAAAGAAGGCAATCAAGCGTATTGACCCTCGTCGGCTCTCAAATCGGCCGTTCATTTAGCATGTAGCTGATAGTACCTATATAGTGGTGTAGGCCGCGCCAGCGTCATTATCCGCTAATGCCCGCGTAAGTGAGAGGCGGAAGCAGTAGCAATAGAAATTCCCCTCCCTCCCCCCTACTCTGCCTCATTAACGTCGCGACAGCTATATATGTTACGTACTGCGTGTGTACGTGTGTAAATACGTGTCCCATTTTTATTCCCTCATCGCCCTTTTTCTCGGGTGCCCAATAAGTTACCCACGGGAGAGATATCACGGCTGTATGAATGACGACCATGACTATGGCTTTTTCGTACATCCCTTTTTCCGGCTCAAGATGGATATGGAGTCGATAAATAATGGTTATATTCCTCTCTCTCTCTCTCTTCACCTTGGTCGGTGCCATTATTGTTTTTGTGCTCTCTTCCTTTTCTCCGTGCGACGATTCCTCGAGACCAAAAAGGGGGGGAACATTGTGCTTTGAGTGTATATAGAGGTAGAGCTGTTTTTTTTTTTTTTTTCCGTGACGTGCTCTTTTTTGCGCCATATTTCCTGTTTTGCTTTTGGCAGTTCGATATTTATCGGTAATTGAATTCAACAACAAGTAAAACTCGACGGATGGATTTTTTCACGTGATATTTTTCGATGGCAACTTTGATAACTACCCACGTGTTTTCAACTTTTACATTATTGATGCTCTTTTTTTTTTGATTAATGAAAATATTGGTTTTTTTTTCATTCAATCTCCGATATAAAGCTCCGAGGCGTTAATCTATAATTGGCTGAATCACGCCAACTGCTTATGTAATTTGAGGTGCTTATATTAGATTTATTCGCTATTTTGAAAGTTGTCGGTGCCTTTATGAATATCGGATACAAGTAATGGTATCGATATAAATAATGTCAAATCTGTATAATTTCCTCACGTTTGTTTTTATGACTCAACTCCACGTTATGCCTAAAGCAAGCCCATTCGCGTACAATTTTTTACTTTTGCATTAATAATTAATTTACACTGCAAAGTTATAAAATAAATTAGTTTAACATTATTTTGAAGAGAAAAAATTCTTTTCAAACAAGCAATACAACCCATAGAGCTTGCGAGCTTTCATCATTCGAGATGCCTTATGCTGCTAAGAAGCAACAATAAAAACTTTTCTATTCGATTGATATTGGCAAATGTCCTCTCAACGTATCCACAAGCGAATAAGGATAGGCCGTTCAATATTACATGGTCCAAATAAATAGATACTGATACAGTATGTATTCTAAGCTTTTAATAAGCTTTATATAAAGTGTTGTCATGTGTACACATGCATGGTGAACGTGCGTGAATTATTAATACTTGATTTTTTCATCCATGAGGATAAGTTCGAACAAAGTGTACAAAAAAAGTGGATGCAGCTGCTTTGCCATCGTATGTTTGCCTGAAAAAAAGTATATTTAAGAATCTTAAAAAATAGTTAGTAACAGGACAGATGATTGATTAATTAAGGGTACAAAATTTGTGAATTTGAAAAAATTTTTATTAACTTTTAATATACACACACGATGTATATGTGTTCATTTATAATCTGATGATATTTTTTTTATTTATTATTGTCATTTTTTTTTTTTGATAAAACAATGCAATTTAATTTTCAATCCACGTTATGCCTTAATTCAACGCGAAATTTTTACGATATGCCATACCCGCACTAAAATTTATTTGAANTTTTTTTTTTTTTTTTTTTTTTTTTTTTTTTTTTTTTTTTTTTTTAATAATAAATGAGTGCAGGGACGGCAGGCATTTCTAAAAAAAATTTTTTTTATTTTAACCTAGAACAAACAAGGAGCGCGAAAAATGTTTAAAAAATGTGTACTGCCGAGATATCAAAAAGTTCCAGTTCCAGCTATTAAAGCAGCTCCGTACGACGAGCTCCCATTTCACCAGGTAAATTCACAGCTTGTACTCTTCATCCACGGTTGAAATTGTATTTGGCTTTTTTTTTTTTTTTTTTTTTTGTTTTTTTTTGTAAAAGAACTAAACGAGTAAAAAAAAAAAAATCAAAAAAATTGGTCGCAGTATTTATCTTGAGGTAATTTAACGCTGCGCCAACGGCAACGAGCTGAATTCACATGGAAGAAAAAAGAAAAAAAAAAGAAGTTGGGGCCAAATTTTACCAAACTCCCTCACGATACGCATGCCGCCAGCATGTCCGCGTTTTTGTTTCCCCTCCGACCCAAGCGCAAAGCAAAGCTCACCGAGGAGAGCCGTTCCACCAGCGCGTGTATACAATATATCCTCCAACAGCAGCGACTCGAGGCCAACCAATCGGCTGCACCACACTCTCGATCCTCGGCCACCCCGTGCAGCTCATCAGATGCGCCTGGCGCCGAGCTTGCAGTGCTGGTGCACCGACCCTATGCGCTCCGACGCGACCTTACCGTCGTAGCACACGTACTCGTCGTACCGCACGCTGTGCCGCCACTCAAAGTCGAACCTCTCGCCCAGCGCCTGGCTGTAGTTCGATGTGAACACCCCGTAGGCGATCTCCGGCTCGGGCAGTCCGTTCTCCCTGGCGAGCTTTCGGGCCAGCTCTATGCTCGTGCGCATCAGGTTCGTGGCTATGCCGTACCGACGGTACCGCCCGTCCACCCCTATGTAGAATATCTCCAGGGCGTTCTCCGCGTCGTACAACTCGTACAGGTCCACGCTACCCTCGATCTGGCCATCAAACGAAAACACACGCGTTACGTACATCCACGCATAAGTATATATATATATATATATTACCAATTTCCTGCGCATACGTTATACGTTGCCCTCATTTTTTTGTTCCCCCCTCTTCCCGCTATAGTCTTACTGCAACTTGCGCGGCTAACATTTATTTCGTCTCTCGCCTTTTCGTCCTGCAGTGTATATGTATAATCTGGCATTTATCAGCCAGACGGATCGAGCGTTTCGAGTTGTTGATTTTATTAATAAGTAGGTATACGTAGGGTTATTGATTTTTATTGGAGGCTTTTTTAAGTGATAAATCGAGATCCCATAGTGGGTTAACTTGCTTTCATGATAGAGGAGAATATATGGTATAAGGTGGACACTGTGCCCAGCTAATGGAAGGATCACCATCTTTATTCGATGCGTCTCGAAATTGGGAGGAATAGGAGAGAGATTAATTTAACAAATTTACCAAACGCTAACGACAAATGTTAACAACATCCGAGCTGGTAAAAAATTGGTTTAGTGAACAGAGGTGACCTTTTTTTTTTTTTTTTTTTTTTCAATTATAAATACAGGTTGAGGTATAAAAAATCAGAATTTCATTTAATTAAGAAAAGACTCGGGTTTATGTTCAACTCGTGCGAAAACCAGCTGCTCAATGCCCAATAGTGATCTGTCGCAGAAAAAATGTAACGTTACGATACGAGCCATGGTTTATAAGACTTGAAAAAAGTACGCAGAGGTAAATAGTGGAAATCCAGATGGACGACAGAATCCGGTCAGTAGGGGACAGTTGCTTATTTACGGAGAAAAGGAAAGCCATTGCGACGGCACAGAGTCAATAAGGAATCACGGAAACGTGCTGTCACGCGAACACAATGCAAGTGTACAAAAGCACCTGTATTACATGACATTCTACCATATACAAGTATACACCAACACCCATACTCCGGTGTACCTATACATTACGTCTCGGCGCGCGTGACCTTCCTTAGGTAGGTATACTACTTGATTCGATGATAGTACACCTGTCACGTTGTCTTTTTTTTTTTTTTTTTCTTTTTTCTTTTTTTTATCCTCTCTTTTTTGCTCTGGCGTGTAATAGGTGCGAGGTATACACTCGTTACGTGTCGATAAATGATTTTCACGTTGACAGCAAGAGCAGGCGCGGGACATTTGTCATCGCGTTTAAATGAAAAGTGTCGCATTAGGAAGGTCTGATTGAGTCTTAAGTTTATGCAGTTGTACAGCCGAAGGGAAAATAACAATGATAGCATATATAGGTGTACTTTTTTTTCAATAGAAATGCTTGTACTGCAATACGAGTTGGGTCAACTGACGACTAATTTTCAATAACACGATGTGCTTACTGTACGCTATCATTGATTGTTGATTTGAAAGTGCGAAGAACAAAAGATATCGTATAATGTATATGCAAACTCACGGTAAGTTGGATGTAAAAATAAACATATGAGTCAGAGGTTGAAATAAAAATTCCCGCAGGGGTGTGTCGGTGGTGGAAATGTCGAAAATTTAAAGTGGGGAAGAAAAAAAAAAACGAAAGAATGCATCCTTGTGGTAATCGATGGCAAATGTCACGAGATAGCCTCTGTACCTTTTTCTCTCATTGTTGCACCTACGCTGCAGATGCCTGCGGAGAGATAGGTAGATGGAGAGAGAGAGAGAGAGAGGAGAAGTGACGACATCGATAACCGATCAGCAGCAAATCTTGAGCGCGCAAAAAGTGTCAAGGATACGGATATGGAGCTGAGCGCGCCGATTAATCATATTACATGAGAGCTCCTTCGATTTCTGCGTTCCGTTGTCGATCGCGACAATCGTCTCCTTGCTCCCTCATTAATTAGATAACACGAGCGGAAAGAGAGGATAAAGAGGAGAGTAGAGTGTATTTATTTAGAGGAGAGAGAGAGAGAGAGAGAGAGAGAGAAAAAAACCACAACAACAACAATGAGAGTGAGAGGAAGGAAAAATAAGGTGTCGGATACGCGTTATTGACCTGCTGTTCCACTTCGATGGGCCGTTACCAGTCAAGGTGCAGTAAAAGTCTGCCTACTTGTATGTGTTGCGCGTCTGTTTGCCGGCCTGCCTTGTCCGGTGTGTATGAATGTCGGGCAATTAGGGATTCGGACGCTTTCAGGGGCGCCTTTGCCTTTAACTTTGCGTAATGGCTCGAGCTAATTGCAGATATTAAACTTATTGAGAAGTGCCGCGTTTTCTCGAATCGGTAGCGCCGCGGGCGGTAGGCATCGGGAATAAAAACAATACCATACTCTACGAGGTCAATTGTATTTTCGGATTTTTTTTTTGTCAAAATTTTTTTTTTTTTTTTTTTTTTTGCTTTTTCCTTATCCTATTACCGTGAAAACAACTACGAGAGACTATTAATTTGTGCTTGTAAGGAAGCCAAACGACAGAAACGAAATGAATGGATCGAAGTATTTACGAGCTGTCGTGTAAACATCCGGTTATACCCGCATTTACCATCGGGGCAGATGATTTTTTTTTTTTTTTTTCTTTTCGTTAAGGAGTAAACGAATCGTTTGGCTGATTTGGGAAATCGTTTGTAAAATGAAATCACGTGTTTTTAAGTCGAGTATAATAGAATCCAATCGGACAACAATTTATCGCTCATTAACACGAGAGAACGTAAGAACAATGACAATATAATTTAGAGATTTTCATCGATTGCTAGAAAACGACTGGTAGTGCAGCTGATTTGAGATTAAACGATGGCAGATACGCGCACGTAACGGATGAATCAAAAGAAGGACAAACGGGTACGCATTTAATTATCCTTTTTTTTCTTTTTTTTTTTTTTTTATCATAAAAGTTAAACAAAAATATATATGACTATTAAGAGAGCACGTCCTCGTTGTGTGTGATAAAAGGTAAGTATATTTAATAAGACAACGCATACCTTAAAGATGAACCTCATGAGGTCGAGGGTGGCCGGGTGCTTCATGTTCTCCTCGACATTTTCCTCGAGAGGCGTGGTGTTGTCCCTTTCGGATTTGCTCTGTAACGACATGTCACCAATAGTACTTTGTAATAATACATCGAAGCACGGCCCGTGAAAACGTACATTCCAGCGAAAGCAAAAAAGCTCCGGCCATAAGATTTTCTCCGAGACATTGTACAGTCGCGTACTCTGCCAGTGATCCGTTGGACCGTTGCCTCGGTCATATGTAGTTATTTTTCTTAACATTTGGCTCCGCGTTTCGATGGACTTTAGTTGCAAAGCGACACAAATCGCTGCTCATATTCGATTAAAAGTTTGAAGCGACGCGTTTTTGAACAGATTTATGAGGATCGTTGCCACAAAACTTACTCCACGAGTCAAAAACCAGATAATGAACAACGACTGAATAATCATGTGTGAAGAAAAGTGAGGTTATATGTACTCCGGTCAAGTCTCGTGCGGACAGTCCTCATAGACATATTTATATACCGATGACCGCACTAATAAACCAAAACAATCGGAACGTCACTTCGGCCGGGTGGAGCTAATAACCGACAAATCATCAGTCACGCAAATGATTCAGCCAAAGTACAATCAAAGATCAGTTTTGATGCAACGTGAAATTAAATTAACGACAACAACAACAAAAACAAAGGTTCGCCTCGGCGTTGATTAAAGCCGCGTCCGCGTTTACCGGATAGTCACGAAAATAGTGCGCCGGTGGGTATATAAGCGACGATTTGGCCCGTCGCCCGCGGGCATATAGGCGTTACGACACGTTATAGAGACGCGATGGGTATAGGGTGCTTTCGTCGCGTCGGTGTTTACAGTGGCAAAAATAAACCGAAAGATGTTGACGGGACAGAGGGAGATGAACCACACACATCGTGCATCACATTGTATTTGCCATTTGCACGAGAGGTAGGTAGGTAGGTAGGTAGGTATATTCATTTGGAGAGAAGAAGCCACACTCGTGACGATTAACGTGTATGTGTATATACTCACGTGGAGCTTGTTGAAGCAGACGCCGACGAGCTTGCCGGTTTTTGTGTCAAACGCGCCGATGCTCAGCCCGTCGGCAATGATGCTGCCGAGGAGGACGGAGAAGCCCTGGTGGTCGGTGCCACCGGGCACGTCGGCGATACCGAAGCCAATGGTCAGGGTCTCCTGGAAGGAGGTGCTGATCTGGAGCTCGATCGCCTCCTCGGCGTGCTCGTCCCCCAGCACCTTGTACACGATCAAGCTCGTGTCCGTTTTCTTTGACATGTTTCGTCGCTCGGGATGATACGGTTGCGCCCGGTTATAGTTACGATCGTATACAGTTGTGGTGGTGGTGTAAGCAGCAGAGTTCGACTGAGCGCCAGCCACCGCTGGCGAATAGCTCATACACTGTGGGGACGCACACTTGGCCTTTTCAATGTACGTGCGAGCCCCACTTCATTATTATCAGTCAGTCCTATATTATATCTTATGTACCAGCTTCGCATCGCACAGCGCCCCGCGCACTCGACATCTATCACATCTACCTATACGCCTGTACCTTATACTCACGTACTTAATTTATATATCCTCGCTTTTACACCAAATGACTATGTTTATTTTTTATGCGTTTGTAGGTACTCGGTCCGTCTGTCCGGCCGTTCGTCGCTCCGTTTCGTGCAAGCTGTGCTTACCTACTGCGAGCTTGTAGCTATATACATCATAGCAACACACACGTATTGTATACATTTGCCCACGTACACCAAAGACTTGCGTATAGCGCTATGAGTATTAGCACTTGCACTGGGTACGTGTCGTATACATATATGCTTGTCCGTGCACATATACCTACGTGCTCTTATTATTGGCACACGAGTGCATCTTGGTTGTAGCTCGAGTTGGGCTTTCACCGTCCAATGATAATTCATAAATACATTACGCCCTTGCGTAACAATAAAGACAAAATAATAGTGTGAGTGTACTTTTCTTTCGTCGTATAAGATATTGAGTTTGCCGGTAATAATAGCGTGCTCGCAAGCTCTAAGCGAATTAAATTGTCACTGCCGAGTTCACTGCACCATTGGGTATTTATTCACGAAAAACTTCTTTTTTTTTTTTTTTTTTTTTTTAACGTATCGGGCACCTGTATGTAATAAAACGGTTAAAAAATCATTTGGATGCTGCATATAGATGCGCATTGTATAGGTACAAGTTATTAATATGTGTTATTATTTGCAGTAAAAATGAAAAAAATTAATATTCCATACAAGCAGAAGCGGAGAAGAGCCTAATGATCACATCGAAGTTAATATTCATTGAGTAATACCACCGCACATCGAACGTGTCACTCGGGTATAAACAACCGCACCCTTCCCTCCGTACTCCTTAAAAACTCTTCATTTTTTCCTGTGATTATTCATGCCCGAAGCAATTAACCCTCACTTGTGTATTTTAAACATTATGGCAATGATTACCGATAAATAATAGGTATGCGTAGCTTTACAATGTATCAAGGGTGGATGTCAAGAGATAAAGATCGAGCGAATTTCGCGTATTTTTTTCACAGTTGTATTTAGCATGATAATTTTGTACAATAGATATACATTATTTCGATTTAAAGTCCATCAGAAGGTGATTATCGGCAATCACTATTTTTAAAATCTACATAGTTAATGGACGACCGTATTTATTTTATTTTTTAGTTTGAATTGGTTCCTTAGGGGTGTACCGTGTACCTACGTCATGACGTGCAATGCAATGATTGGATCAACTATACCTACAATCCGCGAATCGCTCGATATTTTCTTTACTCAGAAGTAAGCATTGTACGTCGACTATACAGAGTTGTGCCAGTTACGAGTCGTGGGAGGAGAGCCACGCGTATAAGCTTGCACGTATCTTTCATTGTCTTTAATCAGTCCCAGTGACATCGTGCGCACAGTGCACAGCACATATAATATATATGCATGTGGACACACTCACGAAATCATACAGATGCATATTACAACGTATATACTTTTTTATCAAAAGTAAAAATTAATGTCATTTATGCTCGTCTATGGTATACACGTGTGTTAGAAACATACAACTATGAAAACGTCAAAACAACAAATAAAAGTCAGAGAGAGAGAGAGAGAGCATAGTCTGTTTGCCGAGCTTGGCCTAATAAGCGTATATAGTTTCAATGTATAAAACCCGGTGCGTTGCGTCCCCAGCTTGAACCAGCCACTGGGCGCGTATCGCGCACGTATTGGAGGAGGGGCTGAGCATGTGCGCGTATAGGTACTCACGCTTCCGTGTGTCACTGTGTTGTTATATACGATCGTAATCATCACCACTGAAACAATTATAATATTTTCTGATAGTTGCCGCGAGCGCTTTGTACGTATATTACAGTTCACCGAGTCCGTTGGTGATGAGGTGCTTAACAAGGTGTTTGCGATATTGATTCCAGAGCCTCTCTGTACCCGATCAACACGATATAGTGGATGATCCAATAGTTTCCGTGATTCATCAAATTCGGATCTTTGTTTCATTGTTTTCACACGCATCCGCCCTGTGCCTATATCTATCGAGTGGGTGTTATTTTTGTTACGTAAAGATTTGTGGCGAACTAGAGTTTTTTTTTTTTTTTTTTTTTTTTTTTCAATGTTTTTTTTAATCAATTGCGCGCACTATTGATACGACATTTTTTCATTCAAACGATGAAAATGAGGTGAAAAAGAAAAAACATGTTACTTACTATCGAGTGGCAGCGCTTTATGTATAATGTTCCGTGAAGCAGGAAAACCGTTTGCTCCCGTTAGACGTTCATCAAGACGTAATAAATACATACCTTTCACCAACGTCCCCGTATACAAGACATTTTTGCTTGCGCTTGATCGTGTATTGTAATTATTTTGCTGGTTATTAATTGATGATTGATTGGGAATCATCTTTTTTTCTCTCTCGAGACGACCGAGGGTAATAATAGACTGCGAATAGCTGATTTTCCGAGGCATTTTATAAATGCGAGGCGCATACATGTATTTTTCACGCAAGACTTTTCGCCTTGCACTCTCTGCGCTGCTTTAGCAAACCAATGAGTGTCCAAGTATACATGTGTATACATACTTTTTAATTATGAGTTATGAAACTATAATTGGCCAGCGATATTGAGTGCACATGTCCTTTTAATGTTTAACCGATCATAATGTTAGTTTATACCTTAATAGGTACGTTTACAATGGCTGATGTGGGTATAGGTGTGCACGTGTCACGATACATAAATCACTGAATCACAGCGCTTTTCATGCGGGATAACCGTACTTTGGTTACTGTAAAATAATTATGCTGGTGAGTACAAGATTCGGCTCACGGGAGCCTCAATCTCGCTCGAGGAAATTCAGATGATAATGTCACGGGCCAGAAATAGACCAACAACGGCTCTTTTCAACGCATCAGGAAAAAGTGACTGATTCTTCGATACTTTCGGAATTCATTCTTTTGGGATTTTAGGAGCAAGACAAGTTATCGGTATTGAACTCTTGGATACCAAAGTCATCGATGTTTGAATTTTTGGGCGCGGTTAGGTTGTAACCGACGAAAATTAACGCTTGGCTGCCCGGTCAACAGTATTCACGTATACCTACAAGAATGTCTCTTGTACCCGTTTTGCAGATTACCGAGTTTTGGTGGAAACTATAATGTTGAATATCCAAAAGACGGATGTACGTGATTCTGATGCGCGATTTCACCGGGAACTAAAAGTAAAGTAGGTGGCATAGCGCTGTTCCGCTCAAGTTTTCAAATTTCGTGGAGTAAGTATAAGTTGCGTAACTAGGTACCTCGCAAAGTTCATCATTACTTCCCGAGGAGGGCAAACATGAGCCTCCCGAGGGGCCGCTTTACCGTTACAACGACAAAAGAACTAGCCGACTCTCTTTCGCAAACATTTGACGCTTAGGTATGCAGCCGAGTCTTAGTTTTCGTGTGTGTTTGCGCTCGTGGACGATGACATAACGAGAATAAAAAAAAAAAAATACAACAGCTTTAATCTCGAGCACACTGGGAATAATGACCAACAATCGTTTCGTGGCATAACTACTTTTATTACGACCAGGTACGAAACTATTGTTCTAGCTCGTATAGGTGTGTTGCTATGTGTGCATTAAAAGTGCGGGGAAAGAAAGGAGTTGTTTCTTCTATCGGCGGGAGTTCGATGCATCGATCCGTGCACTCAAACTTTTTAGACTATATTTTAACTTACACTATATTTTACACTATATTTATTAAAGTTGAGTAAAAAAATCAAGGACTATTACGAATAATGTTGAATAAATCACTTTTTTTTTTTTATTCGTATGTTTCGGTTAAAATGTTTTTTTTTTTTTTTTTTTTTTCAATTATAAATACAGGTTGAGGTATAAAAAATCAGAATTTCATTTAATTAAGAAAAGACTCGGGTTTATGTTCAACTCGTGCGAAAACCAGCTGCTCAATGCCCAATAGTGATCTGTCGCAGAAAAAATGTAACGTTACGATACGAGCCATGGTTTATAAGACTTGAAAAAAGTACGCAGAGGTAAATAGTGGAAATCCAGATGGACGACAGAATCCGGTCAGTAGGGGACAGTTGCTTATTTACGGAGAAAAGGAAAGCCATTGCGACGGCACAGAGTCAATAAGGAATCACGGAAACGTGCTGTCACGCGAACACAATGCAAGTGTACAAAAGCACCTGTATTACATGACATTCTACCATATACAAGTATACACCAACACCCATACTCCGGTGTACCTATACATTACGTCTCGGCGCGCGTGACCTTCCTTAGGTAGGTATACTACTTGATTCGATGATAGTACACCTGTCACGTTGTCTTTTTTTTTTTTTTTTTTNACGCTCTCTCTGTAGGTCTCGTGCGAATGCCGGTCTGGGTTGTTTTCCGTAAGGCCATCGCTGCGAGAGAAAGACAAATTCGAGCGACATTCAAGCGCCGCGAGCCAAGAGGAGGAGGAGGCTAATTGCGAGATAAGTACCCCGCGGTGAGTGGTATTATCCGCGATCAATGTAACGTAACTCTCGCCTTCTCTAGCCGCTCGCACACGTCACTTGCATTATTTATTAGTACATGTACATACACGCGACTCGCTCAAAGACCACACTACTTTGTTGTCATCCTCATGTATATATCATATATACATTGTGATGCACTTCGTCTATCTTATTTAATTATTGTTACTATCATACGTATATATTTTGTATTGTTATTGGTTGTATTTTCTCATTTTTTTTTTTTTTTTTTTCATGCAAAAATTAATATTTCCTCGAGGTGATCTCATCCCGCCTTCCCACATCGCGTTTCGCATAGTCATAGAACATGCCATGGGTCCAGTACCCTATACCACGTAGACGTAGGTGCATAAACTATGTCGAGAAATGGTTAACTTGAGAGTTAACGGGCGAGCGGAGCGTATACGCGTGTCATAACAATCCCCCCGCTAAAATACTTGGGAGTAGGTATAGTGTAAGCTGCGCATCATCGTGCATACATTACCGCTTGGCTCCCCAATATCCGATAATTATACCGTACGAACTTGCCCCAACGAGCCCCAAGGACAACTTTGCCGATTCGCTGATTCCACTCGCGTTATTAAGTTCGCCCGATCGATGCACCGGCTTCTAATCTGTTTAGTTGCTCGGGGAGCCGTGGCACCGAAGTTTAGCTCCTGTACGATGTTTTGCCCTCGACGGGGGCTTCGTCGCGTATAGTTATTGCACCCGATGTCCGGTGCTTAAATGAAAAATTGCAGAAACGAAGGGCGAGTGTGTGTCAGCGTATTTTTAAAATCCCGATGGTCACTCGACACCTGTACTTAATTCGCGTACAAGCGAGTTGTGCAATCGAGCGGGCGATGGTGCAAGGATATCTCGTTGCTTTCACTACGTCCCTTATTTACGCGCTTACATGGGTGTATATTGTGTACAGGCAGGTCGCGTGCTCGGGAAATCTGTTGCCACCGCGAGCAAGAAAAAAAAACGTGAGTGACGAAAAAATTGTTTCAAGTTGGGACAGGGGGAGTGCCAGAAACGGGTAGCAGAACTGAAATTGCGCTCACGCGGCCGTTTAGGTTACAGCCACGTCATCGGTGGCAAATAGGTAGATTATTAACTTTTTCGGTCATTAATTAAAAAAAAAAGTGCAAAAAAGGGTGAATCCATCCGTTGAAACGTTGATTTTTCAGATCTCGGTAATAAATTGTTGTTTTCGCTGTTTCCGAAATTGCATTTCCATCAGTTATTTGACCACAAACATTTTTTTTCCGTTGTGGGTCTATAGTTGCGCTTGCGTTTTTTTTGTTAAACGAGGCGTGTCACTAAAAAAAAAAAAAAAAAAAACACACTGTAGTTGTACACCTAAATGCGAGGCGTCGCACGACACGTGTAGATCGCGACTTACGATGAGATCCTCTACTCGATTGTCCCATTACACGCTCCGCGCGTACGTAGGTCCGCCAAGTCATGTACACAGGTATAAAGAGAACGCTTTGCGACGCAGGTGTGTGTGTGCGCTTTACCCAGCACCCAACCTCCAGCTTGTATTTGCTCTTTGATGTTGCGTGCTCGCGGTAACTTTACTGTACACGCGGTTGTTGTGCTGTTCTGGCATTGGCATTTGATCAATCTTTTGTGTGCACTGCTCTCCTTATCTGCATCGGGGAAATCTCAACTCTGGTGTTCCTCTGTCGAATTCACTCGACTCTTTAGGGATACAACCAAAACAACAAAACAGCGGATAATGCCCGATCGAATCTCAAGCGGCAGTATATAGTAGCAAAAAGCGAGTAGTTGGTTTTTTTTTGCTTGTCTTTTTTATTGTTTGTTAAATACCTATTTTTTCGCACCTTCGAGATAAAAAGGTGTATAGGCGCAGGGAGAGTATAGGTACAAGATACAGCATCGGTACGCGATAGTACAAAACGAAAAACAGGTAAAATGTAAACGTAAAATTGATGAATAGTTTGATGAATACGAGAGAGGCAATCAGTGGTGGTGTATTAAGATTAGTTTGCACATATGGAGAGCGCCAAGGCTATTTGCGGATCAGCCTCGGTAAATGTGCACCTTACCAGTTCCCTCTTTTCCTGCAATCCTGATGTTTCTGACCCTTTTGCCCCTTGGATTCCTTGGTACATAGCCTTCCCCCTTTACTCGTAATGTAGTCGTTTGCTTCATTTCTACTGTGTAAATTTAATTTATACATCTAATGTTTGAGCGCAAACAAAATCAAAGATACAATTAGAAATACATTATCAACAACAGTCACGGACGACACAATCAAATTAACTAATAAGTTTGTTTTTAATAAAAGTCTATTTTTATCAGTTATCTATTTTAACAGCATGATGTTTTGTCAAAAGCTGTATACATCTTAGGTGCGTAAAAACTCGTACGTAATGTGCAAGTTCCATAACGTAAAAAGCCGACACTCCGTAAAAACCCAAGTCATTTAGAACTAAATCCCAAAGTACACCCACAGCACACAATTACATCCGATGCTTGAGTTTTTAATTTGAAATCATTTCCAATGCTTGAAACGCTGTAAAAGTAATTTAATGAAAGTGCAAAAAAAAAAAAAAAAAAAAAATGTGCGACGGATTAATTTAACCCCGCGAGTGTTTAGTTTTACCCCACTTGGATTCGCAGTGCGCGCCACAAGTGCAGCGACGCCTTGCGAGGTTAACAAGCGAAACGAGTTGTGTAAAAGCTCGGGGGGAGATCGGGCTTTTATTTAAACCGCTCGCCAGCGGCTGCCCGCAAGTCGTAGGTACACCGGTACGATGGATACTAGGATAAAGTAGCCCCAAAAAAACGACGTACATGTGTACGTCGTCATATATATATATATATTGATTC